GCTTGAACTATTTTATTTGTGGAAACGTGACTTTCTGCTGCCCCACTGCTGTACCCATCGAAAGGTCGACTGCCTGTGAGGAAGCTAATGAATCACAGTGATGATTTCAAATGGCATCGTTTGCCTTTGAATACATTCTCCAGCCTTTTCCATCAGTTTTCCATGGCCTTGGGCTCCTTCCAACCACTGATGCTGAAGAGGTTCCTAGTGTAGTTGTAGAACCACCCCAAACCAGGCTCAGTCAGCAGCAACTTCAATCAGTTAATCTTGCAGTCAATCACATTTCTGATCTGAAGGAGAAATACCAGGCCTGTTGTGCAGAAATTGCTTTATTGATTTAAGTAAATTTCACTGTTTGAGGAGTGACAAACATCAAGAACATTTGATCAAATGCATTGTTCTAAAGATACAATTACTACAAATAAAACTCAGAATTGACACGAGTAGGTAACCTATGAGTAGGCATTACTAATTAAATATACATTGTGGAAAGGGAAAGAACAATAAAACTTCTACTTTTGAAAATGTTCTTGTAGAAATGACTGTATCTCCCAATCCCCTTTTCAAACACATCTTTTGGACCCTCTGAGCTTCTTTAGAATTTGATTTTGTTTTTAATCCAAATGAGCAGTCTTCATTACATGAACTAGAACAATCATTACAAGAGATTAAATTAATATGCCCATTTACACAGCAAAAACAAATAAAAAAATCTTGCCAAATATTTTCCAGTGCAAAAATCTTTCTACACTTCAAATAAGACACAAGTAAAATATAAGTAACTTTTCATCAAGACATGAGCTTGTTTTAAGTCATTATTTTTCTTAATATTGATGAAAAAGGACTCATTACATTGGTAGATTATTTCACTTAAAGCAAGGGAAAGATGTCCAGTTATAAGTTAAGTTAATATGCCAATGTAACTGCTATTTCTTTAACAATACTAAAGAATTATTGACTTAAAACAAGCTCATATCTTGATGAAAAGTTACATGCAAGTTAGTTTTATCTTTAGTGTACAAATACATTAGCACAAGAAAGTATCCCAAAAATACTTGATAAGACCTTTTGGTTTTGCAGTGTGGCTCAAACATACACCTTTAAATTGTGAAACCAAAAGTGGTTATTCTTTGACACACACAAAAAAAAGACAAAAGCAAATATTGTATTTACATTTCAATATTTTCCACATTTGATTTACCTTTATTGTAACTTGCTTTAAAACACTTAACTTTTCAAAACACTCCAGCTCTTTTTTTAAAAGAACTACTTATTACATTTATTAGCTGATTATGCAATACCAAAGGTTGGTGCCTGCAGCACTGTCATCCACTTTGTGAAAGACTCATAGTCTGGGCGTACAGGAAGGTGGAGTACTATAAGTCATGTATTTGCTTCTAGGACTGCATTCTCCTTCTGAAAAACAAAATGTTGAAATTATTACCTTTATTATAAGATATAGAGTGTGTACTCTTAAAGACATGGAAGAAAATGTGTTGCATGTCTGTTCTTGTTCCTCCTCAATTTTGTTATATTGGCGATGACAATGCATTTTTTGTTGGTAAATATAAATCAATAAACATTTTGAAGCCAAACCATGACTAAGCATGATCATTGTAAATAGTATGTAAAAGTATGCATTTATGCAACAAATTACTCAATATATATTTACTGGCAAAAAAACAGGCCATTTCTATGGCAGCTTAACAAAAAGACTTTCCAGGAAAGAGACTTTTCTAGTAATTGAACAGGTTTTGGTCCTGTCACTAAAAAGTCTCCCTCTATATTTAAACTATGATTATTTCTTTTTGGACAGTGGTGATAAATCGGTCACAAAATGTAATTGATACCGGTTGTTTTTACAATATCACAATAATTGTACTTTCAATATTCACCAACCAGACTCTCCAGTAGCATATGGTTTGATTTTCTATCCTCCTTTTATTGCTGCCTTTCACAGAAAAACACACTTGGAAAAGTGTGTACAGGTTCTGTGCCAAGAGTGGTTTCTCAGCACAGACAAACAATTCATGAAAGAGTGGAGGGTTTTTCTGAATCTCATCTAGCACATTAAGAGTCTTCAAACCTTCCACAAACCTTTAAGAAAAGAGAATATGCTCTTACTTTTAGATACAACAAGATTTCTAATAGAAACAATTAGGATCTTGCTTACTGTTGCAATGCAGTGCTTACTCGGCCATTTACGAAGAAGTCTGCAGCAGCTTGCACAAAGTAGTCCCTCTCTTCCAGAGTAGTTACACGCCTTAATGCTCCCACCATGCTCAGGGTATCTGCTGCCTGCAGAATGGCTTCGTTTGCCTCCACGATTGTTTGTCTCCTGAATCTAAAAAGACAAAAAATGATATGAAACTGAATGTAAGCTTATGATCAATATCTAAAATGCTTAAAATTGCTACTGACCTTGAATTACTGCTGTCTGAATGAATGGTTAACAACTTCCTCAACCAGGGTAGATTGAGACAATGTGCCACAAATTTGGTCACAGCCTTTGAGAGAAGAAATGTGGTCCAATGCCTCCATGCACCAAACAGTCTGATATCATTTTTCCAATAAGGTTGCACATTTTTGACTCCAGCGCTAAAGAAAAAAAGAAATTTACTTGACAATTAGCCACCCTTAAGAATTGTGGGGGCGAGGGGGAGAATACTGACCACTAACCCTAATCACCTTCATCAGCTGCCCCTTCAGCGTTGTCCTCTTCATTCACAAAAATAACATCCAGCTTTGCTGCTGGATCAAATTTGGTTTCGTCTGACTATCTGTAATTACATTCCAGAAATCTGAAAATGCATTTTCACTAGACAAAACTACATTTTGACTATCCAGAATGGTAATTTAAGATGATATCTGCATTTCCATTCTGACTAGTAAAAATTATAATTCACGATATCTTCAATTACATTTTGACTTGTCAAAATTCCTTTCAAGATATCTCAAATGACGTCACTGGATCTATAATTTGATGAGACACGTATCCGGAATTACGATTTAAGATATCTTGAACGTAATTATCGCCAGTCAAAAATACAATTTGAGATATCAGAATTAAGAATGACGTGGAAGCCCCTTTGTGCTGCCCAAACAGTTTCCTGCAGAATTTGATGTTTTCTGCACAAAATTGTCCATAAATGGCACAAATTAGAAAGAGCTCAGCAATGTTGGAAACGCGGAGAACGCCAAACTTCATAAACTATAAGACTGCTAACGATATCTGCAAAAAAAAATTCTGTTTCTTAATTTCCGACAAACCGAATGCTCTTAAAAACAGCTTTGAAAAGCTAAAACTGCTGTTGTCAATCCATTTTCAACATGAAAGTTGTGCATTTTCAAACATCTTGTTGTGTTTTTTCTACTTTTCATTGTTTTATTAAACTTTCAATTTGCCACGTAAATCAGTGACGCTTTGACTAGACAGAATGCTAACTCAAGACGTCAGTAATGTCATTTTGACTCGTCACAATGTTCATTTAAGATATCTTAAATAGAAAAGTTGAATAATTCAAAATATCTCGAATTCATTTAGAGATATCGTAAAAGGAATTTTGACTAGTCAACATTATAATTCTAGATATCTCTCATTTAGTTTTGTCTAGTCATTATTTGCTTTTAAGATATCTATAATTTAATTTCCACTAGTCAAAACTACATTTCTCCTATCCAAAATTACATTTAATATATCCTGAATTATGGACTAATTAGAGATAGCTTGATTAGAATTATGACTAATCAAAACCACAATCGAGATATTTTGAATTTCCTTTTTGACTAGTCATAATTTAATTGTAGATTTCTGAAATGTGTATTTCAGACAGTCAGTAATTCATTGTCAATATCTTGAATTGAAGTCTCCATGCAACTCAATGATAAATCTGACGTCATTTCGACTAGTCAGAATGTAATTAGAGATATCTGGAACGTAAGGGCGGAAAAACCAAATGTATGTTAAAATGGCTTGCCATAGGGTTCGTGTCTCGTCAAAATACAGATTCAGTGACGTCATTTGAGACGTCTTGAAAGGAATTTTGACTAGTCAAAATCTAATTGAAGATATCTTGAATTACCATTCCGGAGAGTCAAATGTAGTTTTGTTTAGTCAAAATGCATTTTTAGACATATGGAATATAATTATCGATAGTCAGAGGAAATCGAATTTATGTTAAAATGGCTTGCCATAGAAGGATGTATTTAGAAATATCTCAAATAGGTATTTTTATTAGAATTCAAGATATCTTTCATTTAGTTTTGTCTAGTCATTATTTGCTGTTAAGATCTCTACAATCTAGTTTTCACTAGTCAAAACTACATATCTTCAATCCAAAAATACATTTACAATATCTTGAATTATGTTATCATTCAAGATGTCTTTAGTTAGAATTATGACTAGACTAGCCATAATTCAAAAAATATTCTTGCTCATAATTTGATAGTTAGAGGCACAGATCCGACCCCTCCTCCTCACCATGGACCCAGAGTCTGAACAACATGGAGGCAGAGACTGAGAGTCTTTATCAGAGTGAGGGCAGCCAGACTAGTTTATTTTGCTAAATTATAATATTTAGCTAAATATTATTGCTGAGGTGCACAAACAGGCCTCCTGATGCACAGATTTTAAAAAAAGGATTCAAAAAGGAGCATCAAGGATAAAGGGCCAGGGGCTCAAGCCCTCTTCACCCCCCTCTCTGCACGTGCCTGTGACTAGTTAAAACTAAAATGGAGATATCTTGAATTTACTTTATAACTAGTCATAAGTTAATGATTGATATCTGAAAATGTGTATTTCAGATAGTCAGTAATTCATTGTCAGTGTCTTGAATTGAAGTCTCCCTGGTATATTTGATGTCATTTTGACTAGTCAGAATGTTTTTAGAGATATCTTAAAGTGCTAAAACGTCCATTCATAAAACAATTTCAGATATCTGGAATGTAAGGGCGGTAAAACCTAAATGTATGTTAAAACGGCTTGCCATACCCTTCTGCTCTTCAGACAGTGAAGGCTGAACCTGGTGCGTCAGGTACGTGATTCAGCTCCCGGAAACGGTTCATGGAGTTCTCTGAAAAGATGGAGCGCCTGTCGTTCTGAGACTCATATTCTTTCAACCAGGCGAGGCGAGCAGCTCAGAGGCGAAGGATCTCAGGATGATGTCCTCTTTCTATCATCCGACCAAGGATGCTGAGATGGCGGCCATGACGGAGCCGCTCTGCTTAGAACGAGGTAGGATTCCAAGGAGTGGGCCATTCATCGGACAGCTAGCGTCTGCTCTATTCAGAAAGCTTTAGTTTCTGTGGGTTTTTAGAATGAAACCTCATCTGTGTTCATGTCCATATTCACCCTGTTGTCAGGACGGGTTCAGACTACATTATAGGCCTTTAACTGTTTCTGATTATTTCTCTCTGATTCCTACTTTTCATTTGTCCATCCAGGAAACAGAATCATTTTACTATCAGTTACAGAGGGTCTCTTTTAAATCCTATGTTGCGGATGCAAATACTACTTGTAATCAATAGTTAAATATGTATTTCAATTGTCATTGTAGCTGCATACATTTTACAATTCTGAAAGTCTGTTAATGCGTCAAGATGCTTACTTGTATTTTCAATTTTACTTTTTATTTTCAAATCATTTTCCCGTCTATATTATTGTTTTTAATAACATATAATATTTATTGATAATCATTTCAATACGTTATTGATGAATAATCAATATTTATTAAGGTTTCTAAGAGACGAGTCAACGCACATACAGGTAAGTCAGGGTAGCATCGAGGCCTCACCTATCATCATGGAAGAATAATAAGATCATTTATATTTGGTATTTATGCACTGTGGTTTGTATTATAAAGTATTTATTTTTTATTTAGCTTTTAACTATCACTTCAAAATTGCTGAATTTTTGCAATTTCTCTTTGAAATGCTCAGAAGCACAGCTCAGGCTGTTGAGGGTCCCATCAAGGCTGCGTCTTTTCCCCTCTTCTTTACGTTTTGTGGCAGCCAGCATGATAATAGGTTAATATTATTCGCTGATGACTCAGTGATAGTTAACCTTCTACAGCATGATGAACATGCCCATGGCCCTGTGGTCGATGAATTTGTGTGATAAAGCTTTTCTTTCATTAAATGCTCAAGATGCTATCGGAAAATCTCGCTGATTGGTGAAAGAACTTTGGACATAGACGACGGTGGGTAGACAAAGCTATGCTGTGAATGGACCAGAGTGGGAAAATAGTTTAGATAACGAGAGTGACGGGAGCAGTGAAACATCGAGTGGTCAAAGGATGAGTCCAAAAGGAGGAAATTCTTCAGTGAGGGCAGGTGTAGGAAAGAGAGGAAGAGTGAAAAACTGGGACGAGTCTGAAGAAGAAATGGAGGGGGAAATAAGGAGTTCAAAGTAATTGTTAGAGTTAACGAGGAGACAGCATTGGAAACGATCAGTCCAGTTAAACTAGCCACGATTCTAAAGAATCAAGTGAGGGACATTACTAATGCAAAAGTTCTAAGAGATGGAAAATTAATAAGTTGTAATACAGAAGAACAAAAAGACAGAGCATGTAGAATGAAAGAAGAAGGAAAGTTATTAAGAAGGCAAATAAGACAAAATAGGGATATTTTTGTGATTCAATAGGCAGAACGACTCCTATAGCAAATGTATGAGGAATGACGAAGAAAATGAGGGAAAATAGACAGGAGAGAACAAACCCGATTCTAAAACATGAAGAAGGAGCAGCAGTAACAAATGAAGAGAAAGTAGAAGCAATGCCAATTTACTATTTAAAACTATGGATTTGCAAAGATCCATAGTTCAGGTAATTTAACAGAACTGGGGAAATTAGGAGGGAGCAGGCAAGAAGGGCAAATGGTTTTATTTTAGAAGGTGAAACAACTCCAGGTAATGTCATGATGTTTCTTTTTCCATGCAAGAAATGAAGAGAGCAATATTTAGATCAGGACTAACAGAAAAGATCAGATATGCTGAATTATGTTACTTAGGGAATCATGCTGAAGAAAAACTTTTAGGTTTATATAATAAGATCTGGAAAGAAGGAAGATTACCTACTACTAATTGGAAGGAAGCAATAATTGTGCTAAATATGAAACGGAAAGAATTCAACAAACCCTTCAAGCTTCAGACCAATTGCACTTACTTCATGTTTAGGAAAAATTACAGAAAGAATGATAATGGAAAGGATTACATATTATGTAGAAAGTAAAATACTTTTGTCTTCATGTCAAAGTGGATTCAGAAAAGGAAGAAATTCAATGGATCAGTCTGTATTTGGAATCAGATATTAGAAAAGTTCAAATTAAAAGAGAAGTAGTGGTAGCAATATTTTTTGATATTGAGAAAGCATATGACATGGCATGGAAGGATGGGTTTCATATAACATTATATAAAATGGGGATTACAGGAAGGGCTTATGATTTGATGAAAGATTTTTTGTTAAATAGAGTTATACAGGTGCTGATGGGATCCGATAAATATAAAATTGATAATGGAACTCACAGGGAAGTATTATCAGTCCTTTATTATTTTCAATCATGATTAATGATGTTTCTACAGAAGTAGATCAGGATGTCATGCAGTCATTATTTGCTGATGATCGAGTCTTGTGGAGGACAGGGAAAAATGTAAGATTAGTGTATGAAAAAATACAAAATGCTATTAAATTTGTTGATAATTGGGCTTATAACTGGGGAGTTAAATTCTCAGTAGGTAAAACAAAGACTGTTGTATTCAGTAGGAAGAAAATTTAGAACTTTGATTTAATAATATGTGGAGAAAAAATAGAAAAAGTAAGTAAATTTAGTTTTTTTAGGAGTCATGTTTGATTCCAAGCTTTTAGGGGGTGATCATGTAAAGTACATTCAAGGGAAATGTAAAAAAAGTTATAAGGTGTTTAACAGGATTACATTGGGGTGAAAATAAAATTAATTTTAAAAAGATTTATGTTGCCTTGATCAGATCAGTGTTGGATTATGGATGTGTAGTTTATTGGCAGGCTGTGGAAACAGTGATTAGTAAATTAGAAGTAATTCAGAATCAAGCTTTGAGATCATGCAGTGGAGCTTTGAAGACTCTCCATCTTTGGCAGTGCAGGTGGAAATGGGGGAAATTCCTTTATATTCAAGACAAAAGCAAATGATTCTGAATTATTGGGTGAGTTTGCAGGGACATGAGGAGAGTAATGCAGCAGTAAGAATCCTGAGACCTTTCTGGGAGAGTTGCAAAGCTAAAATAGACTGTTTTGCATGGGCAGCAGATAAATCTGCTAGAGAAATGGGTATACAGGGAAAGAGATACTGTGCTGCGGTGCCTTATCCAATTGCACTTTTCTGGTTGTTTCCATATGCGAATGTTGATCTTGAGGTTTATGAAGAAATGCAGGTTAGTAAAGATAACTGGGTAAGTTTTGTAAATTTCATAATTTATAATAACATATAATTGTACCATCTGTACAATTATATATACAGATGGTTCAAAATATTTAGTTTAAAATAAAACAAGATTTGCTTATGCTATTCCTGAACTAAGTATATTTAAGAAACAAAGAACATGTTACCTTTTAGCTGTGTATACAGTGGAAATGTTAGCCACTGATACTGATGACCTTATAGAGGGTAGAGCAAAATAACATTGAAAAAGTTCTTATATGGTCAGATTCATTATATCACTAATTAATTTCTCATCTGAGAGTTGTATGGAGTTGGTATATGACAATCCATCCGTCCGTCCGTCCATTTTCCCTAGTGGGGTTGGGAGGTGCTGGTGCCAATCTCCAGCTAACGTTTCGGGGGAGGGGCGGGTGACCCTGGACTGGTCACCAGTCTGACACAGTATATGAAATTTCTGAAGTTATATTTAGAATGACACAAACTCAATTAAAGATTAGGTTTATGTGGATAGCTGCTTATGGAGATATAGAAGGGAATGATATGGCAGATCATTTAGATAAGGTGTCTTTAAAACAAAGTAGAATTATGGAAAATAGCGTATTGTAAATCTGAAATAAAATTAATTATTAAGAGCAAAATTAAATCTGAATGGCAAGAATTGTGTGAGGAAGGAAGTCATCATTTAATTCGTATACAAAAGAAAGTAGGGAATATGGAAATAACTGGAGAAAATCAAAAAGAACAAGTAGTAATGACAAGATTGCAGCTCGGACTGAATTAAATAAAACTTTACATTTGATAGGTAAACATCCAACAGGTAGTTGTGAGTATGGTATGGTGTTCAGAAACACTAGAACATGTAATAATTCATTGTAAAATATACATGTAAAAATATACAGTAAATAGAGAGAAGCTAAAACAAGAAATTAGGAAAGACGATATAGAGACATTAAAACTCAATAAAATATTAATTAAACATAAAATAAATAAAGCAGTTCTAAAATCTTTGAAGGAAACTGGATTATATATGAGAATTTAAATTAAAGGGAGATACTCTGGTTCACACTCCAGCATAGTAGACAGCGATAATGCATCTTACCGTTAGATATCACCCGCCAGTAAAAATCAGGAAGAAGAAGAAGAAGAAGTGTTGAGATTCGCTGAATTTGACTATGGCGTCTAACCGCGCCCCTGGGTCAGTCGGACTCACAGCTAACTTTTATAAACATTTGTGGGAGGATTTACAACTCTTGTTGTTTCAGGCTGTTGAAGAATTTATTCTGTTAATCCGTTTTTTTAAAGGGCAGATCCATACATAACATCCGCCTGATTCTGGACCTTATTGATTATAGTCACTTGGTAAGAGATGATGGTTTTTTTGCTGTTTTTAGATTTCCACAAAGCATCTGATTCGGTGGAACATCATTTTATTGTTAAAACTTTGAGACACTTTGGGTTTGGAATTAATTTTCTGAATATGATTTCCATGTTAAACACCAGTATTAACAGCTGTGTGTCCCTGTCACAGGGCACATGCCTCAGATTCAATGTAGAAAGAGGAATCAGACAAGGTTGCCATAGTATCTCACCTCTCTTATTTATTTTAGTCACAGAACTACTTGCAGTAGTAATCAAAAACTCTAATATTAAAGGTTTGGAAATAAATAATCAAGATATAATAATTAGTCAATTTGCAGATGATACAACCCTGTTCTTAAAAACAAAGAACAAATTCCTCTAGCTCTAAAGGAAATAGATTTGTTCTCTCAAGCCTCAGGACTGCAGCTTAATATAAATAAATGTGAAATTATGAGTATTAGAAAC